GACCCCAGTTCTGGAAACTCCAGCTGAAGTCCAGCTGCTTAATTTTGAGTGTTAGACTAGCTCCTGAGACCTTCCATAATATTCTTGTTAAGCATTGTTGGTTTTATTGCTGCCGTAACTACCCATATTATTATATAAAAGAAGAAAGAATGAGCCATCTTTCCCTGTTTTTAATATTACAGCTTTTAATGGAGCATGCTGTGCACATGACGAATGAAAAGGAGGAAAGCAATGGGTATCATTCAAAGTGGCTGTTGAAGTATATAAATATTAACTATGTCATTCTGTCATGCTTGCTGGGTGTGCCTCTTAGAGTGGAACATCATAACTGACTGGCTGGGGACAAACATTTATGCACTGACCAAGAATGTGGAGGATGCCCTGATTGTGCTGGTATCTGAAATGGTTTCCATGGCAGTAGTCAAAACAGGAGACAGCGTCCTGGTGAGGTTGGCATCAGTATAAGGGACTATGGAGCTGGAGAGAAAAAAAAAAAAAAAAAAAAAAAGCACGATACTTAGATTTACTTGGGTACTTGTGGTGTTTTTCTGAGGCACTAATCAGGACTGGAACTGATGCCTTGGGCTGGTGAAGTGTTTTTTGTGGCTTTATGCATAGATGGAGATTATGAGCAGGATGGAGATTATGAGCAGATTATGAGAAAAGGGAGATGATCCATGGTCGGTGGCTAAGTTCAGGTCAAGAGAGCAACTGTTTTTGTGGCACGGCTGCAGTAGGTGCATGTTCAAGCTAGTTTCTGTGGTACTTGATGAGGTAGGGCCAGCGGAGGCTGGAGGATATGCTGTGGCAGTGCCCAGGTCAGGCTGGCATATAGCTGGGACTACTGACAACAGGTATGCTTTTTGTGGGAACGGCAGTGCAGGGCACTGTACCGAATTTGACTGTTGGGTAACAGTTTTTCTTTATAGGCCAAATGCAGGGAGGGGTGAGTCTCACTATAAACCAGTGTATAAAGTTTTAGCGCAGTTAGCAAGGAGTGCCTTGGGCTGGCTAAAGCATGAGGGGATTTTTGAAGCATGGACTAAAACAGAAGGCGATACTTGGACCAAGTGGCTTGTGGTTTCTGTTATGCTAAGTTGGCTGGTAATTTTCATGTGAGGCAGCCACCTCAAGTGTGATGTGCCACTGACAGGGAGGAGTTTCAGATATGGTCTGCGTGTGAGACTGTTTTTGTGGTCCTGGCTAGGACAAGAGTGGGTGCTTATACGAAACAGCATGTGGGGTGGCCTCTTCATGCTGGCAGTACCAGTTTGAACTGGCAGGCAAGATACTGCGCAGGCAAGGGGGAAGATGGGCCAGACTGGCAGGTCACCCTCCCTATCTGGGGCACTTGGTAAGCCAGCTCAAGGCCGAGATCAGGCTGGTTGGGTGGCCGGGTGAGGCTGAGCGGGGCTGAAGATGCCCCAGCCAGGTGGGGCTGGGGAAGGGGTGGCAGCCCCGGACATGAGGACGTCGGTGGGGCAGGAGTTCAGCAGCGGGAGCCCCCTCATCCCGCCCTGCCTCCCGCCCCTGAGGGGAGGTTGGGGTGGACGGGGCGCGAGCCC